CCCTCTAACAATCTCTGCCAGTGCTTGTTCAATTCTGCCGCAATCTGTGCCTAAAAAAAGAACCAAATACTACTGAACAGATTCCTCAACGTACACTGCTGAGTATCAGATTTGTTAAATTTAAGCGAAGCAAAGAAATTCCACCACCACCAAGAGACAGGAACAACATAAGACTGAATCTGTGATTCAGACTGATTCAAGGTGCATATTGTATGAGAAAGCTCGCTGCCTTGCCTAATCACGGGAAGGGAGAGGAAATAGGAGGCAATGGACTGGGTTCAGAAACATTTGGATTTCCAACCTCTAGGCAAATTCTTGAAAGCATGGGCTCTGTCTCAGAACATAAGGAAGCAGGCTGTACCACTCATGAATACCCCAGGTCAGCCAGTCTAGAAAGTAGCACTTGTGTCCGCTCCGGAAAGGGAACCACCTTTCACATGCATCCTTCCAGGTAGTTCATGAAGCAGCTATAAACAAGGAGTGGAAGAATGAACAAGTAGTGGAGAGAGAGGAACAAAAATCGCACTGAGGAAGAGGGAAAAGCAGCAAAACATATTTTCACTAATATTCAGAGAGATGTATGAATTATATATTTAGCCACGGAGTCCGGTCAGTGATGGGCAAACCTGCTTAGCAAGACACGGACTTACCGGTTCTCTTAAAGCTGATCTGCCCAGAAGAATTGTCCACAATTCTCTGCTGCTCCTGTATACGAAGGGAAAAGGTGGAGAGTATTTTAACAATGAACACTATTTCAGGCTTCCATTTAGCTTACACCTTTTCAAACCTGCCATTAACTCAGAGCAGATCACACTGCAATATAAGAAAACTGATTTAAGGACCATTGGTTTTTAGCTGACCAGTTTCAGATGTCCAGGAAGCCAGGAAAGACCCAAAGAGGGTGACAACTGATATAGCAAGACTTGCAAACTCATATCAAAGAAGCATCACATTTGTAACAGTTTATTAGCTCAATTTGATTTTGCTACTTGGACGTTTGACGTTAGTAAAAAGAAACCTAATGGAAGTATAGAGCAATATTTTATTCAGTTACATTCGATGCTCTCCTCCAAACAAATTTTTCCATAGCAGTTTCATCCTTCACTCTAAGAGGAACATAAAACTGGGTGAAGTGAAAAATTGCAACACTTTTACATAAGGTAATGATTTGCCGCAGGTCTTCAGAACATTTACCCTTGGCTTCTTGTTTCTTCCTGAGAACTCTGTAGAAAAGCCAGTCTGCGCTATAAGGTATTACAGATCAAATCCTGACCCTGGCATACGCATCTAGAAAAATGAGTGTCCCTACAACTGCTCTGAAAAAGCATGTTTGCCAAAAAGAATATTTCAGGAATATTTCAGGAACTTAGACAAATGCTGATTTGATAGTAACGTAATACAAATCAGGAGTTAAACACCACAGCTCCCCACACAAAGACTGTCTGCAAAAGCAAGAACACTCATTAACTTATTTTTAGAATAGCATCATCAAAATAACTCACTATGGCAGTGAAAGTCATCTGCAACTTCTGACACATGGTGCCACTTAAATGATAAGACCCGTTATTTCCAGTACACCTATCAACATAATTTCTACCTGCTAATTCCTTGATAGTTAGGTGCACCTCCCTGTGTATAAGCTAACAAACCTCCCCATGACTCGGTCGGCAACCAGCTGCGGGTGCAACCTCTCCAGCCCACAGAGAGCACCGAAAGGCCACAGAATTTTACCAAGAAAAGAATCGCTTTGTAGAACGGAGCACCAGCCTAGCAGAGCCACCCCTGCTACTTTTCATTCCCTCCTAGTCTCTTCTGTGAATAGAACGGACCATGGTTTGTTGCCAATTCATTAATTAGACCCCAAGACAGCTAAGGAGGGAAAGCTCTCTTTATGCGACCACATGTAGCAGTGGTGTTCTTGTCCCCATTAGGCCTTACAGACGTTCATTTACTAAAAATTAGACATCTAGGAACACTCCAGAGCATAAAAACGTTACAATAAATGTCAAAAAACGTGCTCAGGACAAGCGAAGGCACCGATCTACAGTGATCGCCGAACGTGGGATTCATTGAATAGCTTCCTTTGCACATCTTCCACATCTCTATTTCGGTTTTTATATTTGCAAAGAGCTGTCCGAAAGGTGGAAACCAGCCCCTGAATGCTCTGCTCTTCACGAGAGCAGCTCCGGGACTGGGGAGGAGGTCTGACAGACACCGCCGAGCTGTCAGCGTAAATCGAGACTTCAGCCTCGCAAAAGCAAAAGCTGTTACAGAGCTCTGTTTAACATCTCATCTTTTACGACACGGCAGAATAAAAGAAACGCAAAATCACTAAAAAGTCACTACTAACACCGAAATTTAGCCGCCTGGGGGG